CTTGATAACTGGCACTCTTAAAAAATTTTAATGAAAATAATTTATAATTGTTCACTCTTAAAAAGAAACTCATTATGATTTTTTCAACAACAATGAGATAATTTTTGCGTCATATACTAGTAAGAAAAATTGTACCTTAAAATACAGCGATTAAATAAAAATGAATTTTCACTAAAATCGCTTCGAAAAAAAAACTCAATAAAAACAGCTCCAATAGATGGCATTTATTTGTAATAAAGCCTGTAATTTGCTTATCGAAACCGTAATTTTGCTGAAGAAAATATTATGTTATTATAAAAAGCATTTTTATTTTCTGATTTTCAAAAGTTCAAAAGTCAAACAAATATATTACCAGCTGCCCTTTATCCGTAGCTAAAGCATCTAGTTCATTTGTTTCCGAAGTTCGAGGTGCAACTGCTATGAGCTTCTTTTCGAATTCTAAAAAATTTGAAACTTTTTCACTGTGGTCAGTCGCAGTAACAGTGCAACAGCAGAATGAAGTTTCATAAATTCTAGACAGAACTTTAATCTAAACAAATTCTAAATATTCTGCGCTCTTAAAACCTTTCAGTTTCTTAATTCTATGTCAAAAAGGAATTATTAATGTATTTAACTCAAACCTTCATAAAATTTGGGTGGTTCTACTTGAGTACGTTCTTTGCCTACATTAAGTGATGCTATTGTCCGTACAATCCCATGAATATTTGATGCTTCCACTGAGTAAGTGCCGAGATGTAGCAGACTTAGATTCGATATCTTTAGCTGACATCTGGTCGGTGTTATAAATGAAATCTGTAAAAGAAATCAATACCTCCCGCAAAATTTTGATCACTAAGCAAAAAAAGAACCATTTCAGTGATGAGAAACAATTATTAATAAAGGTTTGATCAACAATATTTAAATCAAAAAATGGTCATTCATTACTAAACTAGAAATCTGGAATTGAAATAATGACTAGAAGGACTAAGAAAGTTTGTTGGACTTAAAATCTGATAAAGAAAAGACCTGAATATTTTTGTCTTCGATAACTTTTTCATCTGCATGGTACCAGGTCAATTCTGGTAATGGATGACCGCTTACTTCAACTTCAAACTCAACTTCTCCACCCAGTGGTGTCCAAATATCACGAATGCATTTTAGGAAACGAGGTGGGCCTGCAGGTTGGTCAGATGGCTCTGAAATGTATTCTTCATTGATGCATTCTTAGCAAGGTATTTTTTGAAACGTTCAAGTTAAGCAGCATTTGCTCAAATTAAATGGCAAGAAAAAATACAAGACTTGCGGGCAATACGTCCCGAAAATTCCTG